ATCATCCGAATTTAGTTTTATTTTTTGCTTTCATTATTTACCAGGGAATCCCAACACTGTAAAGACAAATGTGAAAGGATTACAACAGTCATATGTCAAAACGTCTACAGAAGTGATAGATCTTATTGAATGTCTTGATACTCAGTTGGCAACTGTCGAACCTATACCTGATATGAAGTGCCCAAGATGTCAGAAAACTTCGACATCAAAATTCTGTTCATTAAATTATTGTCAACGCGAACAATGGATAACACACACTCCTAAATACCTAGTTTTGTACATACAAAGAAGTGATTGGTTAAACATAGCTAGCTTATCCACTGAATCGAATAATATTCGCCAGTTTGGTGGAAATCCTTTTTCAACTACTAGAATCGCTACAAAGCGTTCTGAACATGTACATATTCCGGAGTTTTTAAATATGGCGCCTTATTTGTTACCGTGTAGGATTTCAAAGACTGGGGCTTTATCTCAGCCTGTAAATCCATGTCATGACAAAACGTCTGGAGGTTTATTTTCCGATACTTCAGAATTATTAGGAAGGGAGTAGGTTTTCAGTAAATTATTCGCCTTGTCATTTATTTTTGAAGTAGAGTATGTAATTTTTTCCCATTTTCAACTTATCAGAAATGTTAAATTTGTCATTTATTCTGACAATACAAAGTATCAATTAATTTGTTTTAGTAGTTCAAGTAGTTATAATTCATTACTTAGGAAATATGGCTGGCAACTCTTGAGTGGGAGAATGGGATGCAGTCCAGTTAATCTACTGTACTGAACTTTGGTAATTTTTGTACTTTAGATAGTTCATATAACATCGTGAAAATAATTTTATGAAGCTATCGATTACTTATTTAACCAAAAGTGCCCGGTACAGTAAAGACAATACTCAAGTGAGACTCAGTTATGTTATTTCTTTCGTATACTAGGGTGGGTTGCACTTAGTATGTGGGATAAAGACGCTTTCTGAATCAACTTGAACCTATGGTCCGACAAATAAAAATAGTCTTCAAACCACGGGATAATTAGTACAAATTTTCATCTGCTCGAAGCTTATTCATGGTTTATTTTTACCCTGTTTTAAACTATATTTTTAAAAATAAAGTTTATTAAGCGTAAAAATAGTGTAAAGTCAAGTAACTTCATGAATTTATTCGTTGCAATCAATATTTGGAAGTTTTATTACTAGATCTTGTAAACCGCTGATAGCCAGGGATCTACAAGGTTAGGACCTAGCGGTTGTCCAAGTTCCTAAGCACTGTTGACAACGAAGAAAAGTGACGTATTATTATTCTTTATGTTGCCGTTTATACTATTTGTTTTGATAAGTTTTATTCCTTCATATAATGTGAATAAATCATAAAATGAACATAAGTTGTACTTACTCCCTTCTTAATCTAACTCACAAGTCAATAGTTCGATTCATTGAATTATAGTTACTTATATATGTTTTCTCACCAATTTCTAGCAAACTATATTATCATTTACTATCATTTTTGCTCTATATTACAGTTGTCCGAAACCATACATACTCCGTTCAGTTATTGTTCATGAAGGAGCATTTCATCAGTGTGGACATTATATAACGTATCGTAAATGGCACACACCTGTATTGCATGTGCAACAAAAGTTTTGTTGGTTAGTTAATATTTTGTCGAGTTTGTACCAATATGTTTCAAACTATTTTCAAGGAATATCAAGCACACCTGATGCCTATAATTCGCCATGGATACTGACTTCCGATGCTCATGTGATACGTGTACCGTTCAAACATGTGGAATCAAGTCCTGCTTATTTGTTATTTTACGAACGTTTACGTGGATGTGATAATCAGCGATTTGGAATGAAATCAACGATTATTGCAAGCGGCACCAACCATCGTACACAGCATAGCACTCCTGCGCTATCACCAACTGAAGATACTGATACGAGTCACTCGGAGATATACAGCGAAGATGAGAGCGACTCAGATGCTTCGATTAACAAACAGTGTGTTTTAAGAAACTTATCAAAAGCAGACATCATTAGATCTTATGCATTATATACGTCAGCATCTCAGATGTATGATAAATCATGTGATGTGTTCTACTTCCATAGTATTTTTTCTTCTTATTTTGTGGCTAAGTGGCGTAGTTTTTGAGAAACGATGTCAGGATGTATTGTTATTTATGTTTTCTGTATTAGCAGTTTCAAGACAAACTTCATATTGTCAGGATAAGTATCATCACTGTCTGAATCATATTGCCGTTGTCCATTTCTGATTAAACATTGCGTGATACAGCCCAAGGCGTGTTGGTACTCATGACACCAGTGTTTATATTCAGTCATCTAGTTTTTCAACAACAAATCTCTTAATAGGAAATTATCGTTGGCGTTTTATTTTGTCATCAGTAGATATAACTAGATTTGCGTAGATGTCTTATTTCCTGGGACGCTCTTAACTGTAGTTTGTGCGGCACATTTAGACTGACTACAATCGACTGCTTCGATTATCACAAACCCTTTATCGTGTCATCCTGAAACCCAAAGTCCGTAGTCGTTAAAATACATAGAAGCTGTCTTATTTTAGTCATGTAAATATCTTATTAAATGCTTAAGAGATAGGATATTTGTAATTGACGCTTTCAACAATTTGCTGATTCAGTTTATCCATCTTGTGCAAGAGATTATCAGTCCTGTAAAAAATTCGCACAGAATCTTCGTTATCTTTACATTTAATTGAAATATTCTCTTGGCATGTGGTTCAAAGTAACTTATTGCTATTTAATTGATGTAATTACCTGTAATTGAGACATCAACTGAATACAGTTTCAGGTGCATTTCTGGTGCCTAGTGTGATTTTCAGCTTATATACATCTTGAGAGAATAACGAACATATTTTGTGCTATATTTAACTTTGATATAAGCGTCATTGAGTTATGTTCAACCAATTGTATTGCTTACTTTATTTGGAGAAAAAATAATCGTGGGTAGTAGTGCATCCTAAAATAGTTTGCGGACACATTATCTGATATTTATTATAAATATACCCATTGTTTTAACTGGGTTCACGCAAAACCTTTGATCTATGTTATTAAAAAGATGTAATTAGGGCTTTGAGTCCCGACTATATCAATAAAAGGCTGCAGGAAGGGCATTCGTACTAGACTCTGTATCAAGTTATCATAAGTTTCAAGTTACTTTAGAATCGGAAATATAGTGCGGTATCGGTAATGGGCTTGAGTTCCTAACACTTGATTCAGATGTTGGACATTTGATGTAAGGTACTTAACGAATGTTAGTAAACTGAAAACCGAGGAATTCGGGAGGTATACTGAATAATTATATATAGTAGTGGGTGAAAATATCATTTACAAATTTGCCCGGGAGTGAAAAACTCTGTATAACGGATATACCTTGTTAGTGAGTTGAAATGCTTCATGACTAATCCTGAGTTCTTCACTTATTACGTGAACTACAGCAAAGAATCCGGAGGGGGAAGGCACCAGTCGTTTTTGTAGTGGACTGGACCAACCAATTCCGAGTCTCAGAAGCATTCGTGAGACTAAACAACCTAACTGTTTCTGAAGATGGATTGTATCAGGCGATGTGCATTTGTACTGACTGGTACAACTAGCGAAGTTAACTAAGGTTTGCTGATTCCGAAAGTCAAAGAGGCTATCTATAATCTGAGTAACCGTCCGACTTACTAAGTTCTATACAGTTACATGTTTATTGTTATTTTTTCCCGCTAATTAGTGCACCAGGTGGTCGGTTCAATGCAAAACAAAAGGAGTTTAGACGTATAGCTACTATGTTTGGTGGTACAAAGCAATAACAGGCTATCAGGAGTAGTAAAAATAGTCAATATATGTCTGCTTTTATGTAAACATTTCTTCATACCAATCAGTGCATGAAGTCATTATAGAGTAACACGGACATGGCCTTCTCACAGTACTTTGATCTAAATGTCATCTCTTTGAACTGCCTCAGACTCATTTTATTTTCCATCAGTCGCGTGAATAGTTTATTTGGACAGTACAGATACTAACAAGTGCATTGTTTAAAGTGGTACGGAAATGATTAGAACCAAAACAGAGAAATGGGATTCTCACTTAAGTATCTACAATACTTGTTGCACTAACATACCAGTGGGATGAAATGACTATTACTATCACATCGATCAACAAATAACCATGCTTTTACTAACCTCTACAAATGAACAATAAGTCTTTCTAACCAGCCGCTTGAACTCGGAAATGTACTACGGAATGAGTCAGATAATTACTAATTGCAAGGAGTTAGGTTCATAACCTACACAACTAAGTAATTCAAAACCTAACCAATTGGTGTGTTGATCGTACGACTCACGGCTATATCATGTCATTGTGATCGTTTGCAAAGGTCAATGAGCTTAATTACACTGCGTCTAGAGTAATCTAAGAATACCACCTCATCGGATTTTCGGAAACTGGTGAAACATCTCGAGGACCATTAGGAACAGCTCATAAAGCTTCATGACTCGTCGCATGGCTAAAAGGGTATGCAGATACTTTTTTTGATAAATATGTCAGCAGCGGAGTCTACTTAGAGATTACTGGCTGGAACCCTTCAGAGAGCGACAGAAGATCAGCAAGTACATTAGAATCCCTATCGCTCTTCATTCTGATTTATGGTCTTCATCTATAACTCCCAGAAGTTAGTATAGAAATGTCGTGGTCGTTTGAGGCCATTCAATCTCGATAGCATGGTGCAGTACCAGTGACCTACCAAAACTAATACTGGGAAGACTAAGGGACTGATTGAAGTATCGTACATTTACATACGTAAACACGTACTAGGTCAGATACAGCAGGTTTGTATATTTTTTTCAACAACCCTCTGCTCATCAAAATAAAAAAACAAAAGAAATTTAATTTCTATTATAGTGGTTAAAATAATTAGATTATTAATCACAATTGAAGGTATATTATGCTTGTAAATCATTTAGACTAATTATGCTTTTAAAGGACATACACGTACTACGACCCTGGACTCGTAAAACCAAAGTTGACATGAACGACAGGCTTTACATCTAGCACTTTAGACAATAATAACTGCAAAGCTGCATTTTTATTTGACTGGAACGAACGTTGCATTGAGTTCAGCTGTTCGTCTGTCATTTGACGACACACCTCCTCATAAGGACCATATTGTGAGTTAACCTATGGATTGCACATGAAAAGAGACTATTAACATACTTGAAGCTCAAGTGAATTATAATGAGCTTCCTGTTGAGCTTTGAAAGCATCGACTTCCAAATTTGCTTCACCTTTAGCTTCCTTGAGTCGCTTTGCCCTCCCTATATGTAAGTATTAAGTTTGCGTAAACAATTACGATTGCGGGCTTCCTCTATTTTTGCTAGAGCTGCTGTGCGAGCCTGTTGCAGTTTGGCTACTCCATCGCTCTGAGCTGCAACAGCCGACATAGCCTGGGTTGTAGGTCTCTGTTTCAAACATGTCTCTCAGAAATGTTCAATAGTAAGAACGGAGGTGATGTATTTTATACCCTTTGTTGAGTTTTATTTACTAAAACTTTTGTTGCGCAATCATATTTTCCATTTGAATCATGACTTACTATGGTGTAAAGATCCATTTCAGCGGGTTTCTTCTACTGGTACGGCAATTCGTCTCAGTGAACATCCAAGGCTTCTGTAACTCCAGGGTTGGTTGGAACCTAGTTGTACGCACCTGTGACGCAACTAGATTTTCCTGTGTCCTAAAAAGAGGTTTTCCTGTTAAAGTATAGTTTTCAGTCATGGCTTTTTTGATCCAATAACTTTCTCATGAGCCTGTAAAAGTTTGTTGATTTCATTGCGTTTATTTATTGTTGTTTCAGCACAGCATTAGATTTCGATTAATATTCAGTAGGTGGTGGTGTGGTCACTCGACTGCACTAGTTCCAGTCAGTTTGGTAGTTATTTTTTGGTTAGTATACTTTTCAGCTCGGGAGAGTGCGTTTGTTTTAGAGCAGTTCTTATTATTAGCTGCTCTCATTGTATGAAGCAGATGTTTGGCCCACTTTTAAGTTTTGAACATCCTCCATATATTGCTAAATAGATGAGAGACATTCCTGAAAGTACTCCTTGAATTTTACTTCATACGGTAGCCTAGTGAGCAAATATTTACAAGTCTAATCTACAAAGCGTTTAGAGGCTGATAAACGAACATGAACTTTGTTCATACATAAGAAGCTCATGTTCTATGGTAAAAACTTTGATGGCGAAGTTGAACATAATCGCAGAGTTATGGCTGAAGAAGGTAGGGACCCGAAGAAGAACGTTTACAACATTTGATATTGCATATTACACGAACCTTACAATCCTCTGATATAAAGCCTTCGTTGAGACAAGAAAAATACAGGTCATTTCCTCTCTCCTTCGCCCACCTATCATCGACTGCGCATGTGGAGAATATTTACCAATTATGTGACTTTCTCCGCATAAAACACATAATGACTTGATACTGAACTTGTTGAACGACGGCTCCGGTTTGGAAGTTTACCTTGATGAAAATTCGTTTTCTGTTCGTTGTAGTCTACCTGAATCTACTGATTAATATTCCTGCGCTTGATGATATGAACTCTGTTGATTCGACAAATGTGAGTTTGCGACCATTCGCTGTTACTCTTCTGACCATTTCAGTCCATTTCGTCTGCAGAGATGGAGGTAAATTCGTTACTATGGTTCCTTAAACAGTTGAAATCCACTGGGCTATCCTTTTGTTATCATTCTTATTGCTATCCTGAACAGAGTTATTACTCCGTCGTTCTGTACACAAAAACTTTCAGCCAAATCTTTTGACGAGGCTGTGCTAACTTCGTGTGTTCTGACAAACAACAGTTTCAGTATACTGCACGCCCTACGATAACCACACAATGGTGGGGGGCATGATGTAGTCTGTTGACTTTTCCTTTTACAATCGTGTGGAAAGAGTAAGAATCACTGAAAATTATTTCCAACCTTTGACACAACATGTAATGCAAACTGTCTCATATAATTCCATTACTTCGCTGGTTGACCATCGAAAATATATAGTTCTGCTGTCGGGAGCTGAAAACCAACACTTAGTGATGATGTGGTCAATTCCCTGTTCTTTCTTTCATGTTAGTCTAACACTTTTAGTTTTACCGGAGAATATTTGTCTCTAAAGTTATGATGAGAATGACTTGCGAGACAGTAAACATACTTCTGTCATTCGTCATCGAAATTGGAGCTAGAAGTTACTTCACTACCCGTGTTCTCGTTTAGCCTTAACGCCTAAATCGTCTTCGGAGGCAATGTAGTTTTCTCCTTTTTCTATCCTTTATCTCCATAACTTCTAAAATTTTTCGTTCCCTTAATTGTCTTTCTTTGAACTCTGTTAAGATGATCGTAGAATCAATTTTACTATGTCCATTACATTATCAAACATCAGGGTCATGAGATGGAATCGGATCAGAAGGGACTTGTCACATATTTGGAGGTAAATGTGCAGTCATTTCTACATGGACGAACAGTGAGCTCACGGTTAACTTCTTGTTGTGTTTACAAAGCATTTAAGTGATTTTTAGCCAGTTATTACTGATCGTTTGAGATTTGTAACGACCGAAATACTGATATTTTGTTTGAACGCAGAACTAACTAACAAAAATTCATTCCATTAGGCCACACCACATTCTTCTGTATAGCGTACGAAGCGTTTTTGAGTGGTTCATAACAAATTAAGTAAACACACAAACTCCATGTTCTATTAAAATGGTTCTAATTCAAGAAGAAGAATGAATTGTATCAAAGGTACAAAATATCTCAAGGTGTACCACCTGTGCTATACAGTCAAGAGTCTTTGTGACGCAAACAAACGTGTTAATCAGCGAAAGGAGTAGTTAATAATCATGACCTTGATACCTGAAAATCAGTGAAAATATTCCCAACAAGATTGGATCAGGTATCTATCTGCAAGGATTCCAGCAACCTTTCCAAACGCACATCCAGAGGCTGACAGTCACACACAGAATCATGCTGTAACCTTGAGTTCAGTCAAACACGACTTTATTGGCCATTGTCCGGCAACATCAAACATTAGATTTTAGTAATAAAAGGCAAATATTTAACCAAGATCAAATGTCAAAATTCTAGGCAAAAAGACTGAAGAACACAAATTGTGGCTAAGAGACCTGAATAAAAGTCTGAATACAGGACTGGGAGAAGAAGCAAATAGATAGCAATACTTTCCTATAGAATGCTTTGGAGGGATTTTCAGAATATTGTTTTCGTTACAATGTACTTCGGAGCAAAAAGTCTAAAATAAGAATGCTTTAGTAGTTGCAGAATGCTAGTGGGAAGAGACGTCTTGTGTATTACATAAAGTAATGTCCAGTTCCTTTTCGGTGGTAGAAAGCATGATACTGGAGATCTTACTCGAAGCACACTGTCGGCAGAATGCCACCATAATCCACTTCTATCATGGGTGTAAAGAGAAAAGAGTCCTTGTTAGTTTAGTCATGTATCTTCTGTACTTCTTTTCGGAGAGCCAAAATATCATTTGCGACAAATATTTCCTTCCAGATCTTTCGACGATCTCTCTAAAGGCAGTTTCGAACATTTAGTGATTTAGGAAGGTAAGTATCTAAAGATGCCGAGGATATCCGATTTTTAACAAAGATGTCGTCCATAACGCCTTTTTTAATCGATGATCATGAATGTCCTTAAAAAGGAATCCAGTAATGAAGTGGTTCGAATACGTATTCGAAGGATGGAAGACGATTTGATTATTTGTGGTGAGGGATGCGTAGCAGGGTGCATCCGAATATGATCTAGTGTGAATGTTCGACCGAGAGCCTCTATTTAGTGTGTATGCAAATACCGAAATTCCTGTATTTGGTGTGAACGCATAGCTAACAAACAAAAGTTTGTATAGTTACTACTACTATTACCACTACTACTACTTTAGTAATAGACTTAATCCTAAAGTTGTAGATTTGTCTTGATGTGACTGCCTAATCTATAAGATCTTACATGGAAGTCACATCATTTTTACACTGATTCACCGTGTCGTAACAATCACCAAAATGTAAAGGAGAACATACTTAGGTTGTATATAGAACAATATATTTTATATGAATAAAAAGTATAGGCTACATAAGAATGATCACAACCTCAAGGCCGAGCCATTATATTCGATAAATTTAAATTCATTCAATTTATTCCTTCCATCTCGTCCTTTGTTAGGTTTTTATCTTAAATAAATGTCGAATATCTATTTTCTCAGTTAACTTGTGTTCAGCTTTGAGGACTGTGTCATTACAGCCCAATGTCACTACAAGTTTATTCGATTAGATCGAAATGTTTTATACGGCATAACGTACACAGCCTTTTTGAATACCTCGAGTTACATCATAACAGAACACAAACCTTGCGCTTGACTTTATTAAGAAGTAACAGAGAAATAGCAATTAAAAATTGCTTGAAACGGTACAGACTATGCCCTACAGTCACAGGTTTTCTAGCACAAAGGATTTCACTGAACAGGCAAAGGAATGATTGGTTGATAAACATCCGGTTCCTCAGCGTCAAAAAGTGTATACCTAATAAGATGGGATTAAATATCTACCAGTGATGGGCATCAGTAAAAAAACTTATCCAGGACGTAGCAGTGGGCAAAGTAAATAATAATATACTCAAAAAATTTAACAATATGGACCAAAATGACTGCCTATAAATTAAACAAGCAAATAGCATTTACAATAGATTGGTATATTAAATGACTTTTGTGAATTGTTACTTGTAAACTCCTGGGATAGCAACTACAAACGGGGTTCATTTATTAAACAGAGGTTCCTCTCCATGGTTGACACCGGCGTCGTGAAGCGAACTATAAGTACAATTGAGTTAAAGAATGATAATCCGGTCCAAAAATGCCATATAGTATAGAACGGCTTAAAAGAATGACATTACACTAATTTAACATCATACGGTCGGTTCTCATTATGAGTAAATTCTTCAAACAATGTCCATTCATTGCATAACTCATCTTCACAACATCTAGAATCACCACACAATCTCCTATTACCTGTCACTGGGCCTCACTCGATTATCGCATCACCTACTACCTATGTTTTCTGAATTTTTATCTCCAAGCTACCTCTAACCTGTCCTTGCATATATATAGTTATTATTGACAATCCTTGCCATCCTTATTCTCCAAATCACTAGTGTCAATTATTCCATATTATATCATACCTGAATGTTATCTTTCAATACATATGCGGTTGTAAGTGGCTGATGAGAAACCACGAAAAATAATGGATTCATATTACTTTACTTCAATTAATGTTCCAGCACTATTTTAATATTTAAACAATCCGGGACCAGTTAAGCAGAAGAATGGACGACGAAGGTTGAGTTTGTTCGAATAACAACAGAGCATGAGTATTAGTCAGCCAATCAAT